ATAAAAAGTTATAGCCATTTAAAAAATTGAAACACTTCGTGTAACTGTTGAGTATAGACTTCCTGCACCATAGTAAAAAATTTACCCCTGTGATCTGCGTGACATGTCGTATGACTGGTACGTACGTACAAACGATTATGGTTTAAAACTATAATCGTATTGGTATAACTAATATATTTTAAAATTTTTTTATTATACGTATACGTAAATAGAATATACTGTATATATAATTTTTTTTTTTAAAAAAAAAAAAAACTTACGTATACAGCACTGAGATGAATTTTTTTTACTATATAATACTAGATTAATGCGTGACATTGTGTGTCCGAAGCCTATCGCTATCATATAACAATAATGATTATTGTTATACTGTATTTTCGTGTTCCTTGGTTAGCATATCGATATGTGACTAATCATAAATTCAAGTGATTAACCAATCACAAGAAAGTCATTCTATACGGTTGGGGTGCTAATCATCTGAACGTTTTTTTTTTTTTTTTTTTTTTTTGAAATATCAATATAGCCACTACGGTACACAACTGGTGTGATTTAGTGTGTATGCATTTGATTATATTCCGAAGCATCTGAAAATTCTCATGCACAGGTCAGGTGACATCAATCAATCATCAATTTCATTAGAAGGGAAAGGCGCGGGAATCCATTTGAAATTGTCCCTCAACCATCCATCCATTCGCTTTCTACACAATGGCGAGTGTTGCGAGTCGAAATTTGTTCGACCTGCTTGGCGATAATGAGGATGTTGATCCAATTGTACCAGAAAAAGAATCCTCAAAAAAGGAACCAGCAACAACGGTAGTTGTCCAGAAGAAAGTTGATAGGTCTCGAGCAAGTCCTAAAGAGGCCAGAATTAGACATGAATATCCTCAACGTGGAGGTTTTAAATCCGCTCCTACCAACAATAGGAGTGAGGACACGAGATCAGGTGGTATGTATCTAATCTTAACAATTTTAAAGCAGAAAATAATTTTTAACTTAACTGACTGTACAATGACCTAAGAAGGTGCGCTAAAATAGAGAATGTTTTTATAAACATCTATCTATTAAGCCTTTAAGAATATATTTCCAGTATCAGTCAGAACGTTTAAAAAAGAAAAAAATATATAAATATATTTAGCATGGCATTGGGGATCTAGAAACATTTTGATTAATCCAAAGTAACGAATTTGCTTTAAATATTTTTTGCACGATCTAATTGATTGACTGAAGCGGCACCTCGTGATCGTAATGTCGGTCCTCGTCTTTCTGGTCGTCGCGAAGAAGGTGAATACCCTAGTAATAGAGCGCTACGCGGTGCCCGACCTAGCGAACGAGGTCGTGGTCGTGGAGGAAACCGTCGAGGACGAGAATACGACCGTCATAGTGGCACTGGTAAATAGTAAGTAAAGATATTCGATTTAAATTTAATTTAAATTTAAATTATAATTTACAAAGATAAAACTGAATAATTAATAATTAATTATTATTTTTATTATTTTCTGCTTATATAGTGACAGTGAAAAAAAAGAAAATCAGAGTTGGGGTCACGCTACTACTTCATGGGAAAATAATGAAACATTGGACAACAGTTGGGGTGGTGAAACAAAAGAAAACGATGCTCCAGCCTCTAGCTGGGATGATAGCGAAAAGCCTGGTCCAAATGAAAACGGCTGGGGCGATGGTGCTAACGGTCAAAATGCACATGAGTCTAATGCTAACGAAGGTGGATCAAATTGGGATGCACCCGTAGAGGCTGGCGAAAATTGGGAATCAGGTGTAAATGAGAATGAAAACTCTACAGCTGAAGATAAAGCCGAATTTAAGAGTCGAGAAGTGAAAGAAGAAGCTGCTGCTGACGATGAAACAACTGCAGCTGTTGTTGAAAAAACTTTCGATGAATATCTTGCTGAAAAAGCTCAAAAGGTACTTGATCTTTCTCTCCCTGAAGCTAGAAAACCAAATGAAGGAGTAGATGATTCTCAATGGAAAGATGCCGTTCCTTTGGAAAAAGATGACGAAGATGTCCTTTTCGCTGGCAAGGTGGGATGAATTGTTAAAGATAATCTATATGGGTGATACCAAGGAAAATCAGACTTCAATTATATAAATCGAAATTTGGTTTTTGCTTGCGTCACCCATATGAACTTGCAACAAATTTAAAATTACAATACAAAAATTTTATTTTTGCTATTTTTTAGGAGCAAGCTTTTAGACTCAAGTCCAAGAAATCAAAAGCAAAAAATTATCTTGAAATTGAACCAACTTATGATAGACCAGCTAACTTTCCACGCGGACGTGGTCGAGGACGCGGTGGTGGACCCCGCGGAGGAAGAGAAAGACGTGATAATCGTGACGGGCGTGAACGTGATAGGCGTGATAATTATCGTGACAACTACGATAGTGAGAATCGTGATAATCGTCGTCGTGGAGGAGGTCGCGGTGGTAATTATGTCAACCTTGACGATCAAAGCGCTTTTCCAAGTCTTAGTGCTGCATAGTTTTTTTTTATTATACACCGAGCGGGAGATTTTTTAAATGAACAATTATCAAGATTCCCCAAATCTATAATGGGACAATATATTTCTTTTTATTTTCATTCTGTTGTTTATGTAGGGTTCAAGGCGTTATATGTTTACACATGTGTCTTTATTCAATTAGCAAAAAAAATGTCGCATTGAATATAGTATATCATGAAAAAAAAACATCTTGTATATTTTATCAGATCATAACCAGAGCTGTTCATAATTTGCTTATTTATATGATCATTTAAACACCGATTTTTCGGCGGGTAATGAAGTTTTTGTGATCATTATAATTTCTTTTGAGTTTTTGCTTCAATAATTCGAGTTTGTTCATTAAGTTAAAAAAAAAAAATTTTATATAATCAAAGTACACAAAGTTTTCCAAATGTGTGGCACAGTCATCATCCTATTTTGGACTAACCAACCTTATGATAAAGTGATTGTGTCATCTCATGCCTCTAAACATTTCGACACGTTCCTGTATTCTTAATTGGCAATATTAAAATTTAGAAGACTTGATTAAGACTATTCGAACCTGTTTTGTCATGGCTGAGGTTTCGCTATTTCAATATCATTTGGTAAACAAGCATTGGAACAGATCAGCAAGGACTGACGAAATATCCAAAAAGATAGATGCGTTTTTTGCACCTTCACATTTCTTCAATAAATATACAACGCTCGAATTTTTTCTTGGTAAGTTATGAATGTGATCAAGTCAAAAAGTATTGTAATAATTATTTAAGCACCTTAAAATATTTGTTCTGCTTCATACTTGAATATGTTGCATTTTTGATTCGAATGTTATTGCTACCCACATTACCCGCATGTAATAATGCATTAAATAACTTTGTTTCCTTCTCCTACAATTATGACGCATGATTAGGTACTAGCAATGAAGACGAGCGTCGTCACTTGTTGCTTTCTGAAGACTCTGTGAGAACTATTCGTTCAGGGTTGGAGTTATATACGTCCACTTCCTTTTCGTCTATGCCCACCTCACATTATTCGTATTCAGATGTTGTACGCGTATCCATTAATGCACCGTCTATGTATAATAAAGTTACCAAAGATATACAAAAATATAACAAAGGAGTCCGTGCAGCAGTTAAACTTCGTGGGATGAAAAATATGTGGGAGAAAGCACGAAATATGATTCAAGAAAAAAAATATTTATTTATAGCTGTTGATGTTGAAAGTTATGAACGAGATCATTCTTGTATCTTGGAAGTTGGATGGAGTATGTACGAATCTAAGAAAGATTTAATCATGGATCGGCATTTCTGTGTGACTGATTATAGACATCTGAGAAATGGACAATTCGTTCCGGACATGAAAGATCGATTCACCTTTGGAACCACAGTATGGGCAGACCAGAAAACGATCAAAGATGAATTCATGAAAGATCTGGAATCACAAAAAGGAAATGTAGTTCTTGTAGGACATGATATCAAGACGGATGTAAAGTATATAGAAAGCATGGGAATGGATGTTTCTAGTGTGATAGAAAGGTTCGATACTGCTGATATGAATGCCGCAAGGGTTGGGAAACCGAATGAACGAATTAATCTTGGAAGGTTGTTAGATGAACTGGATATTGAAAATTACAGTTTACATAACGCTGGTAGGAATAATTCATTTTTTTAATTATTTATTCCCAATATAATCACTATTTAAATTTAAAATTTATTTATTTTATTAAAGGAAATGATGCACATTATACATTACGCCTGTTTCTTGAACTTTGCAAGCTCCCACTTGCACCGCCAGAAGAGCCTAATGCCTCTCAACCTGTTAGTGATGATGATTGGATTTAATATATATATATATATATATATATATAGCAATCACTATTTCTTAAAAATGCGATGTATATATTTTAATAATATATAATGTCCAAGTCAAATGATTACAATTTCATTACTAATTAGATTTATTTTATAAATGTTTATTACCAACGAAGCTACCCTACTCAGGTTTAATAAAAATAGAAAATATTAAAGTTCTAAACTTTGTAAAAATGCTTCCGAACATCTGGTAATTTGCTCAAAGATTTCCCTATAAGCTTCTTCTCCAGAGTAATAAGGATCTAAAAGTAATCATAATGCATTAATATCAATATGAAATCATAAACTGAATTCTCAAATAAAAATATACTCGCCGTCTACAGTAATGTTTCCTTGTGGATCATATTCACCAAATAATTTTACTATAATATCATAAAATTAGCATGCTTAATATAAAATGGAATATATAACTACGCAAAAGCAAATAGTAAAAGTACCAATAGCTTTTGAATTTTTAGCCGACTTCATCATCCTTTTAACTTCTCTTAAATTCATGTCATCCATGCAAAGAATATAATCGAATTCATTAAAATCATTTGTTTCCACCTTTGAAAAGAATAAAGATTTTAACTTAGGTTTAAAATATATCAAGAACACGGAAATGATACATAAATTACGAACCGTTCTTGCACTATGTTCTATATGAATACCATTATCAGTGCATATTTTCACTGTTCGAGGATGAGGTGGTTCACCTAAATAGGATTATATTAATCGTTTATAATTCTAATGTAATTATAAAAAAATAAAATCAATTTTATTTACCAATATGGTATGCACCAGTCCCTGCGCTATCAACGATGAAACGTGATTGTAGGCCTTTTTGCTGTAATTCGATTATTATCGTTATGTTTAATTAATTTAGATGATAAATATAATACAATTGAACAATTACCAGTGCAGTATGAGCAAACACTGCTTCAGCCATAGTACTTTTATGAATTGAAATAACAAGTTAATTCGAAATATATAACAAGAAATTAGCATATAAACGAAAGAAATTATTTATTAAATTACCTTCGACAAATATTGCCTAAAGATTTAAAAAAGAAAACCCGTTAGATACCATATTTGTGTAGTGACTTACTTCTTTATTATCAATTACCTAAACACACAAACAGGATTTTTATCTTTTGATCTGACATGTTTGTATCGAGAAGAGTTTAAGACACGGATAAAAAAATTGGCATGCCATTTTTAGGGATATATATTTAGGGATGTTACGGTCCTGCAAGACCGTGGTCCGGACCGGTCTTTTGAACCGGTCTAGCCAGTTCTCGGTCCTAAA